TTTTTTTTTTTTTTTTTTTTTTTTTTTTTTTTTTTTTTTTTAGCTGTATGGGCGATACTTAACGCCGAGTATCGGCACTTGAGGACTTTTACCTCGAGTGGTCTCGCAACGAGAATTGTCAAGGGCCAAAAAGAGGATGAGCGCATTGCATCTCAAAGTGATGGCTCGAGCTGCGTGTGAATGCGGCGCCAACGGTCATAAAATTTTCCTTGCTCCTTTCATTCCTGGAAAACTTAATCACCCATCCTGTAGGAGACCTCCGGCAATTTTAACAATGCGCCAATTACGTTATATATATAGGGCTCGCGCGACCGTCAATCGTCCAGCGCCGATGTGATTCCTTGCGTTCGTATTATACAGGATCACATTCCGTGGCGTCCGGATGGTATTACAGACTTTTCCGCGTTTTTCATAAATCGTTTACGCATCGTCGTTAAATCATTATATTATCATATACACCTTTTTTTTTATTTATCAATCAAACATTTTTTCACCCATACATTGTGCCATTGTACACTTGCTAAAATGAAGCTCTATGTGGCTATTGTATACCCTAAATAACTGTACATAATATATACTTGACTCTGAGATACTATTGACCTAATTTGTAGGTACGTGTGAGTATACAGCACCATTAAAATTTATAATCACAGCTAGTAGTTAGTCGTGTACCAGTGTGTGTGTGTGATATCTTACAAAGATTTTTTTTTCTATTTTCTGATACATTTAAAATGAAAATGGTCATATTTTTTTATTTAACATTTAGCCACAGCTCACGCCTCGTCAATTTTCAATTAAAATCCTATGTACGTGCTCTTACTTATGTATGGTCATATATAATTCCATAAGGAGCTTGTCTTTAATTTTCGTAGAGAACAACAGATATAGGTATAGGTACCGAAAAAGTTGAAACATCACTTGGTGTACATGGGCGCGCACGAAGCACGTACAATTTACACTCGGGAAGCACTTAGGGCACTTGATAGGATAGGTATATATATGTATATACAAAGGGAGACCTGAAACTCATATGTATATACGAGGATAAGTAGTACCAATTTTCCCAACTCTGTCGCATTCTCGAGCGATGAGATGACTGTTGAAACGCTAAGTATATATATATATATTACGGTGGCACGGACCCTTTGGCTTAAAATGCGATTAGGTAAGTATCTTGCTCAACTTATATACCTACCATTGTAGTAACTAGTAAGTATATGTGTATATACCTTGGGTATGACTATTGTACCATGTACATAATACGTATACCCCCCTACGTTGTCACTCTTACGCAGTACATGTGTGTAGGTACTATTCTGATCTCGAATACCGTACTATCTTACGTGGCCGACTAAATGGACCCTCGAGTCGGATGATTCAGTCGCGCGAAAGCACGGAACTCGACTCTAAAATTCCGCACGTGGAAAATGTGCAATACTATTTTTCTCTTCTTTCTTTTCCCCCCCCCCCCATTCTGTTCTTACCATGAATATAACGATAACGCGCGGCTATGTATATAATATATGTTCCCACGCGTACGCGTACCATATAATATATATGTACCTTTTCGATCTTTCTTTGTCCCAAATGGTCTCTCGATTGCGCAACGCCCAACATTATCCGCCGTTGTACCTACGGGGAATTCTTAAATGAAAACGTATGGCGGTTTTTGTTTGGGCAAAAAAAAAAAAAAAAAAAAAAAAACATTTTGCACGGTATGCGTGAATAATTAATAGTGTTAAAAGTCCTTTCCTGTAAAAACCTACTAAATTGGAGGTATTATTACGTATAGGCCAGCGCTTCTATAAGCTTTGATTCCTTTAATTTTTTTAAAGGGCACCTCATTGGCACATTTTGGATACGACTTGGTCGCTCGAAGCTTGGGGCTGTTGTATACCTACGAGCGTGTAAAAAAGGTTGACAAAGAACGCGTATATGTATACTGTGCCACAACCCCTATTGTGTGCTGATATTTACACGTAGACGTGTGTGGCTCTTGTATGGTCGAGGAACAGCTGCGAGGAACCGTTACGCTCTTGGGGCACTCCATCCATAGGTGCATGTACACTCTTCGGGGGGGACTCAGGGAAGAGAAGAGAATAACCCGGCGCGCACGGCCAATATTGATTGCGCTTCGAGCCATGGGTGCATTTGTGTGTGTTTAATTGTACAGCAATTCCTTTTTTTTTTTTTTTTTTTTCCTTCCACATAGGTACGTGTATTGTCCGCACACGTTGTGTATGCAGGGAAGTCACTTCTATTATTTAAATATCCAAGTGTCGCGACGGAAAAGTATACAAGTATCGTCTCACTGTCTCAGTATAGGTATACCTATATTAAGAAGTATATTTTCATATTCCATGCATGCGTGGCCCATCAGCTTATTTTGAGATCATTGCCTTCGATATAATATATAAATAACTAAGTATGCAAGCCTATGAGTTGTTTTGGTGTGTAAAAAAAAAAAAAAGAGCTCTCGACGCCCACTGGTATGGGTGAAATAATTTTAAACTAATTTGTTGGAAAAAAAGAAAGGAATTTCTAACAAATTTTTATTATTTTTTTGCCATCAGTGCATTTATGCGTGAGCATATGGACCTTTTTGCTATTTACAAAGATTTTAATAAATAAGTGCAAAGTGGCACAGCGTAAATAAAAATTTAAAGGGCATCTTGAAAATTTCTGTATTGAAAAAAGTTGTGCTATGTTGAAACAAAAAAGCTTGCTTGTTTAATTTTAACTTGGTTAATGAACTCGTCATACCAAGACGTTGGTTTTATTAAGTTATTGTGTGAAAAAAAAAAGAATCCCGATTTTTATTCAATAGCAGTATAATGACTATACTTTCAATTGATGTAGTAATTGATAGGTTTAACAATAAATTTTGATCTTTGGTACTGCCACCATGAATTTTGACTAACCGTTCATGAATAAACAAATTATGGGTGGGTTAATTAATGTCACAATGTGTTAATGTTCTCACGGGCGCATTGTCGCCTTATAAGGAATTGAATTCGGTGCCAGCAATCGAGACACGACGTCACAACCACGTGACTGCCCTCGCGGGCCATCTAGTGTCCCAGTAGTGCTCAAATAGTTTTCGACTTGTTTCGATATATTTATTTCTGCTTTTTTTAAAAATATATAATTTTCATTGCGTTTAAGTATGTTTCTTGCTAATGTTACATGATCTTTGCACGTATATGTATGTATAATTATAACGAATGAGAGTATTTAATATTGAATAGCAGTTACAAAACAAATGAAACTTTTGAATTTGTTTTCAACACTTAGCTCGAAAGAATACTTTGGTTCGATTAAACTCGATCGAGTGTCGTGTCTCGGACGTTCGAGAAGAGAGAAGGAGAAAATGGAAAAACTATATGTATCTTGTGCCTCCTTGTCAGAGAATAGACACAGCGATTTTTTAATTGTGTTTCAATCGCAAAAAAACAGTAGTGCCTCAACAAATTGATCAAAATGGTGAGTAAACAGCTGTCACCGAACTGTCTTAGGGATGAAAAGGAAATACGGTCAAGCGTAACGTGATTTGTTAAAAATTCACACCGGTTTCCAACTCCAAAAATGACAAATAGCGCACGTGCATGTGATTTCGCCTTTTACAGTGGTTCTTGAATTAAATGTATTGTTAACTGTACGGTTCAAGTCCACATTTTTAATGCTCGGTTGATCGCGAAATGTAAATGTCGTCACTTGGTCGGGTCAAGTGTAATGTACAAACGTTGTCGATTTATTTGTTGGTTATGAGGATGCACAACATTTTAAAATCCACTCTAGTACTTATATACAGAGCGCGAGATGATACTGATTTTCTTTTCAGGTGTCGTTGAATCCAGTGCAGATATTGAAAAATGAGGCCGAGGAAGAAAAGGCCGAGACGGCCAGGTTGAGCAATTTTGTGGGCGCCATAGCCATTGGGGATCTGGTCAAATCGACCCTGGGATCAAAGGGAATGGACAAGATTCTCATATCTTCCGGACGCGATCGGGGACAGATACAAGTAACGAACGATGGTGCTACGATTCTCAAGAGCGTGGGTGTTGATAACCCGGCGGCCAAGATTCTCGTTGACATGTCGCGCGTCCAGGATGACGAAGTCGGCGATGGTACCACCTCGGTCACAGTGTTGGGTAGGTCTTTTGATCATTTATTGAAATTTTCTTTCCCAGCATCCAAGAGGTAGATATAAAATTTGATACTCAAATTTTTCACAGCTGCTGAACTATTAAGGGGAGCAGAATTGCTGATCGGACAGAAGATCCACCCACAAACCATTATTGCAGGATGGAGGAATGCAGCTGCAGTTGCCCGGGAAGCTTTGAGCAAAGTAGCTGTGGACAATTCAGCAGATCCCGAACGTTTCAAGGAAGATCTGTTAAACATTGCTCGCACCACTCTCAGTTCCAAGATTCTGTCACAGCACAAAGAATACTTCAGCAAGCTAGCTGTGGACGCAGTTCTTAGGCTCAAAGGATCTGGAAATCTGTCAGCTATTCAAATCATCAAAAAGAGGGGTGGCACCTTGGGAGATTCGTTCTTAGATGAGGGTTTCCTTCTCGATAAGAAACCTGGTATGCACCAGCCTCAAAAAATCACTGATGCTAAGATTCTCATTGCCAACACACCTATGGATACAGATAAAATCAAGGTATTTGGCTCAAGAGTTCGTGTTGACTCCATGGCCAAGATTGCTGAGCTTGAATTGGCAGAAAAAGAAAAGATGAAGGTAAGAACTCCAAGTTCCGTGAGATCCAAGTACAACTTTTTATTTTCCGTACTGATAAATTAATTTACTTTTTTTTTCAGGATAAAGTAGAGAAAATCCTCAAGCACGGTTGCAACGTATTTATCAACAGGCAATTGATTTATAATTATCCAGAGCAATTATTTGCTGATGCTGGAGTTATGGCGATTGAGCATGCAGACTTTGACGGTATTGAGAGGCTGTCTCTTGTAACTGGTGGTGAAATCGCGAGTACGTTTGATGACCCGGAATCCGTAAAGCTGGGAAAATGCAATGCCATTGAGCAGGTGATGATTGGTGAAGACACGATTCTTCGTTTTTCGGGCGTGGCACTTGGTGAAGCCTGTAGCATCGTGATACGAGGAGCTACCCAGCAAATCCTGGATGAAGCCGAGCGATCTCTTCACGACGCTCTTTGTGTCTTGACGTCAACGGTTCGGGAATCGCGAATAGTCTATGGTGGAGGCTGCAGTGAAATGGTAATGGCATGCGCCGTGATGAAGGTTGCCGCTTCTACACCTGGCAAAGAGGCTGTGGCCATGGAGTCATTCGCTAAAGCTTTGCAACAACTGCCCACATACATTGCTGACAATGGAGGCTATGATTCTGCTCAGCTTGTCAGCGAACTCAGAGCTGCACACAACTCAGGTGCATTCACCATGGGCTTGAGTTAGTATTACCTTGTTTGTATTACTTTTTGCCGATATCGATATTGAAAAACGTTAATGTAAAACATTTTGTTATTATAGATATGGACAAGGGAGAAATCGCTTGTATGAAGAAAATGGGCATTACAGAATCGTGGGTTGTAAAAAGACAAGTGCTTCTCAGTGCAGCGGAAGCTGCTGAAATGATTCTAAGAGTCGATGATATATTGAAGGCAGCACCTAGAAAACGTGTTCCTGATCATGGCCGATGTTAAATTGTTAACAAATCATTTAATGTTTCAACTCGCGATTATCATTTAGCGAAAATCGAAACGCGAGTGCGCTTTTTTTGCAACATAATTCTTGTCTTGTAAGATTTTATTTAACTAATGCACTTGAACCGATATTCCATTAAACAAAACCATTTTTACTTACAAGTAAGCTTAACGAAATTTAAAAAATTACAAATTTTATATGTTTGTAAAACAGAAGCTCGATGAATAAAACGAATTTTTGCATATTTTATGTCATGAAAGGGAGCAGATTCTTTTTAAAGTAAATTTTTTTTTTTTTTTATATCAAATACTTTCATGATTTTTAATAAACATCTTGCTTACAAAGACGATGTAAGAAAACATTGCATAATAATTTGTACATCATTCATGGAACAACATTTGCATCACAACACTTCTCAACTACAAAAAGGCTAACAAACGTTGCATAAATAACAGAAAAGCAACAATTCTTTAAACCTCTCGTTCTTCAATCATCAAGTGGAATTTAATAAGCAAATCGTAGTTTGGTCTCATATCCTAATTTATCCAAATTAGGTGTGCAGGCATAGTTTATCATTGGTGGTGGTCCACACATGAGCACAATGGTATCTGGTGAAGGAGGAAGCATGTGTTCAGCAATCATTTGATCATTGACAAAGCCTGTGCTATACTTCCAGCCTTCACTGCCAGTGTCAACAGTGTACCAAACTTTGACTTGGTCTGGATGATTCTTAGCCACCTCGTCCAGCTCTTCCCTTAGTAAGATATCTTTTTCAGTCTGATTTGCGTAAAGCAGAGATACTTGAGTTTTGTCCAGAGGATCCTTGACAATAGCTCTAATGAGCTGTAACATTGGAGTAATTCCAGTACCTCCAGCAATCATCACAGCCTATAAAAATAGATTTATTGTAAATGATTTTGTTTTTCATCCAAGAAAAGTCGTTTGATATAACATGAGTAATGACTTTTACCTTAGCAAGAGAATATTCAACTGGAGGCTCCTTTCTAAGTAGCTTAATGGAAAATTTGCCTTTCCCATTATAAACAAGTCTACCTGAAGGTCCTCTGACATCTATAGTCTCTCCAATTTTCAAGCTTTCTAAGTACTGAGACATTTTTCCACCCTCTGGAAATTTGGGATGGACATTTTTAAAGTAAACCTAAAAAATTGCATCTCTGAATAAACATATTTTCTGATGATGAGAAAAAATTTTAAAAAGCTCCTACCTTGACAACAAGATCCATGTGTCCATAATCGTCGTCACTGGTGACAGGAGTGTATGCTCTAATGACAATTTCACCATTGACATTGGCACTCAAATGAACGTGCTGGCCAATTGGTAAGCCAAGGACATGCTCTGAACTTGGTAGGCCAAACCTGTACAGCCTAGTGTCATGGCTTAGAATCTGTTTTTCAATCAGTGGTAGGGCATACTTGACCTTTGGATCAACAAGTAGTACTTTCTTTTTTTTGGTCGAATAGAATAATTTGACTACTATGCCAAATGCTATTATTGTCCCTAAGGCAGCTAACACAGGCAGGGCCTAAAAAAATATAAAAATAACGTTAGTAAATTTGCCTTATAACGTAATAACGTGATGGGGTCTAAAAAAATGTTAAAAACAGCAGTGTAAATTGTTCAGAGATCGAAAAAAAAAATAGTGAAGAAGAAAAGCAATATAGTTGAGGTTAATGCAATTTAAAGAGTGCACTTTGAGAGTTTTCAAAAGAAATAGAATTAGACACAGTTTTGCCATTCGATTTTCCACATTAATCACAAGGAGCAAAGAACTAAAGCCAACTTGCGTAATTCATTCATTAATTTATTACCACTTGTGAAAGAGAAATTGCCATCGTAGTGTCGTTGTCGTCGGCGTTGTCTATACCTATAATTCAACAGCGTTCGTTTTGGAGCAGGTGAGCTATAAACGAGCACGTGGTTGCTATCTAATACATATTTTATGTATGAACAATTTCTAACATTCACGGGACGATTATGGGTCAAAGAAGAAAAAAGTTTGTCGGAACCGGCACAACGATATAGTATACAATCAATCGACTAAATTAATATGCAGCGATGTACTAAACATTAAGTATTTGTTGTGCCAGACAAGAAGATAATTGAGAAAACTATGGAGTGAAACAGAATTTCCACTGAGCATTTCTGACGGAGTGATATACACGTATAGGTATGTACACATGTGCAACAGTCGCGCCGCGGCTATTACGAAACAGGATCGCGATGGGCTGGTCTGGTAATTTTTGGACGTGTAGGTAGTCACAATTAGCCCCGACTCCACAGGTCTTACATTATTTTTTTTTTGCTTTCAAACGCAAAAAAGAACATGTTTTTTTTTCCCAAACTACATATTTATTCAGTAGAAATTTACGCCGGTGTGTATCTATATATATGTATAGCCTTCTTTAATCGAGATAACATATTCAAATGAGCTAATTGTTCGACACACGAAACGTGTGCCATTGATTGAAATCGGAACATTTAACATTTCAATGTGGCTTCTCATTTGCATGTGAATAAGAATTTGGCATTGATTATACTCTTTCTCTTTGTTACTTAACTCTTTTATTTACATTTTGATTGACGAAAGCTATATGTTACTTTCGTACAAAAATTAGAAATAAATTTTTCACTTAATTATTATCAATTTACCTAGTGAGAAATTTTTAGTGGTAATTTTGAAATGTTCACTACTGTTACTGTCAAGTGACGTATGTTTTATATAAAAAAATTGGTAATCATGTAAATATCATTGTTGCAATTCATTTATTTATACCACAATTGTGAACAAAAAAAAAAAAAAAAAAAAAAGGTAAGCAAAAGCAGAGGTGTTAAATAACTATTCCAAAACGAATAACGTATGTTAAAAAGGGCAAAACATGTGAGACCATTAGCACCCGGAACAGCGGTTAAAAGACAATGCGAGATAGAGGTTCATTCCTTATAAAATGTGGAAATAGAATGAATAGAAATAGCGGGGCAAGAGAGCTAGAGGCGTCGTCAGAATTATTATTATAGCACCACAAAAGTCTTATACATTTAGACACGGAGATCGAGGCTTTTAATACGCGAGCACTATATATTATGTGTAGATATACGAGTATATATATTGGTATAATAAATATAGCCTCATACCCATAAGAGAGAGGCGTAAGAATAGTATAATAATGCATGAGACCTATAACGTCCTAACATTACGACCAAATCTTCCTGGGAGGCGACGAGGATGCAGAGATATGAAGATAAACGAAGGAAATAAGTCTTACACACAGAGACATATATGTTACCTCGGCAATGCTTTGAGTCCCAGTTTCAGTAGTTGTCGGCTTCATCATCTTCCCAGAAATTTTTGAAATCGAACCTTCCAAGCCGAACCCGAGAACGCACTATATACATCCACCAGCACTTTGGAGTCGGACGGAAAAACACGATACAACATTCACGCAATTTCTCCAAGACACTGCTGAGTTGACTATTAGTTGCTATTGTTTGTTGTTACAACATGCAGTAACGAAGCTCTACACAACATACACTATATCTACACATTAAATGTCGGCCACTTAACATGACGTGGAAAAGTCGACGCAGCCGACGACACACGTGTCATTGTCAGATTTTTTCGTCAGGAGAGCAAATATATATACACTTCATGCTAAGTATGCACTTTTCGAACGAATCGGATCGGATGATTCTTTCCCCCCCCCCTTTTTTTTACATACATGTATAAACATGTAAATCTAACGTGCGCGTGTATGGTAAGTATATGTTGTTATAGTGATGATATAATAATTTCTGATGCTGATCACATACGTCACTCCAGACTGGAGTCTCCCAACTATATTATTATACGATACTGATGTATGCAGCTAGTGGCACGCTAAAATACATCAAGATCTTTTCATGTTCGTTTGTGTGAGTATTTAGAGATGTATGAGTATGTTTTTTACACTTTGATTTATTGGGCCGAGTTGGGGTATTTCCGTGCACGAAGTACTCAAAAACTTTGTTATAATATACGTGAACCGATTTTTTTTTTTTCTGAACAGAAAATATCATCGTAGATCGATCAACAAATACGTACATATTATATGCTAATTCAGTACCCTAAAAGTTTAGCATAACAATTTCTGCAGAAATTATATTTTATGAAATTAGTAAATCTCAACACTTACGAGTTTAATTATTTCGTAAATGCGAAAAGTGAAAAATAAATCAATAAATAAACAAACAATCATAGATACGTTTGCAAAATTATTATGTTGATTAAACATTTCAGATTAATCCGTAAAAATTACAAGAGTGCAATACAATTAATTGTTTGTTTCTTTAAACATTGTTTTCAACACAATATTTTTTAATACGACACAATAGTGACGTATGTAGCTATAACATGTAACATATTTATTTGATGAAGGAAAATCGATTTTTACTGAAAATTTTTACCTTCGTATTAACAAACACAAGGAATTTACGTCCACACGCTAGATAGCCGAAAAGAATTGAATGTATATTCTATTTTTTTAAATAAAGTATAAAAATGTACTATTATTCATGGGGCAGACTCGTTAAATGTAGAAAAAAAATATGCAACTTTCGCAAATTAGGAGTATTTTTGTTGAAATTAATTCTGCAGTTTATCAACAACTTGGTAATAAAACAATACTTGATCGAATATCGGCTTGAGACTCGACGATTTCAGGGTATATAAATTAAAGTTTTAAAAATTTGATGCACAAAATTATCATACATATAAATATTTCGTTTGAAGTGAGAAATAATTTTAAAAAATACTACGCCTAACAAAAATGTCCCAGTTTTCCCCTTAGCGCGTACATGTAATGTTCAACATTGTGAGAGGAAGAAGGGGCTCTCGAGTGATAAAAATGAATTTCTTTGTACGTGTATATATATANAATGACTATTGTAAAAAATGACGCTTGAATAAATGATAAAAGTAAAAAAAAAAAAAAAAAAAATGTTTCAGCTAAACTGGCGAAACATACTCGACAGTTTGTTCAGCAAAATAGACCGACGAATATACGAAGACGAGCAGATCATATTATATATATATTGTAATACATATAATACTGACATCTGTCAGCTGGACTAAAAAAGAGCAACAGATAACAACGAGCACTAGAGTGTATTAGTGTGGCCTACCAACACAACTTTGGGAGTACATACATATAACGAAGTCTGGTGCTTTCCTCCTGCTGAACGAGGATTTATTTTAAGAGCAAGTATTTTGGAATTTTTTTTTTTCTTTCGGTACGGGCCTCTGTGCGGATATGCGTCAGCGCGTCAAAATGTACAACCACCTTGAACTTTCTACCGTCAACCGAAAATTTTCATTTATTTAACAATACGTCGTAAAAGTTGAGAAGGAAAAAATAAATAATACTAACATCCAAGGGATGCCCGATTTGACATAAAAAAAATTTGAAAGCGGTATATTCCATAGATCATGATCGGCATTTGTGAATCACCACTATGCCATTAGATGTAGTATATAACGTCGTTTATGTAATTTTGTTAGAAAATAAACAAGGAATAACGACGAGATATTTTTAAAAAGATAACGAAATGCGCACTTCTTACAATAATTTTGCTTAAACAACGTCACGTCGCTCGATCTCGAATAATCTTACAACCGACAGATTTATGTAAACGCTTTCCATAAACAGGAAATCTCTCTTTTTTTTTTTTTTTCACTAGCAAAGTATTGAAAACATCATTTTTATTTAAATAAAAAAAAATTTATGTATGCTAAATATTTCAAAAATGTATTTAAAAAGTGACTTTGGATTAAAAATATCATTTTTCATCTACCAAGTTATCTGCATTTGAAGTACTTTTTTAAATTTGGGTTAATCATAATTTTTTATTCTACAGCAAAAGAAATTTTAAATACTGAACACATAACGTGCGAGCCAAACTTTCTAAAAAAGTTTGATTGGGGGGGGGGGGAAGAAAAAACAAAAACAAAAAAATTGAAACCAACGTACGTAAATTTTTTAATTCACAAACGCTTGTATGTGTACACGTTTATCGTGAGTCAGAAGATATGGGGAGACCATCGTTCTGTCCTTGACACAACTCCCATGTACACATAGATTTATCAAATGTCGTCCAATTAAGTTTGGAGTCAACGATAAATAACATACGTTTCCTAAAATGAGAAGAAAGAACGTTCGCTTGTCATGGCATAGTAGTGAGTTTAGTTCCTTTCTCCGAGCAACATGAATGAAGCAATGTTACGTCAACTGCTCTGGTTCGCACTTTATTGTATTTACGAATTCTTTCCACTTTTATTTAAATTTAATTCATGGTTTTTTTTATTATTATTGTGATTTGCATTGTTTGTTTGAAAATACTGTCGAATGCCAAAATTCTCGTTTCCATTTAAATTCACGTAAAGGAGAACGTACAGTGACATGTTTTAAATTAATATAGGCATCCATCATTCCAGATATAACTGTAAAAACTTTGGACAGTGTGTTTTTGCGTAGATCGAAACATTGAAAAATGATAAATATAATAAATGTTATGAAATATGTATAAAGTGATTCATCGTAAAAATGAAAATAAAAAAGTGGAAAATCGTCAAAATTATTGCGGATAAAAAGTATGTACATCTTACTTTGGGAATGAACATTTTTTAGGATAGGCATTATTGTCGCCTCGGCCAGTTCCACGACAGGTTACGTTGCACACCCCGATTTCGACCAATGCGATCGACCTCAGTGCCATGTCGTTGGTAAATATTCGAAATTCCAATAAAAAGAAGTAGAAAAAATTCACGAGTAACAGGTAGAAAATGATGATTATTATTTTTGTCTTCAGATGACATTTTCATGCGGAACATAAGGCCCCATGTCGAGCCGTGCCAAGACTTTTTCGGATACTCTTGCGGAAGAAATGATTCTCGTCGCTTGTCGTACTTATCGTTCATATCGAACGAAGCTTACAACGCGGATGAATCGACGATTCAAGACTTGGAGGGTAAGTGATTTTTAGGGATTTGTATTTTGGTTGTTGGTAAAAAATCGAACGATTTATTTGTAGAGATACTCGTGAGCCTGGACGAACAGGATCGTACGATAGATGCTTTGAAAATTGAGAAAGAAATTTACCAAAAGTGTCACGATGGTCAGAATAATTTTTTTTTTTTCCTCTTTCTTTTACATTTAGTTTAAATTCCATGTAAATGGGGGACAGTTTGAATGATTTGTTTTTTGTCGTGATCGGTAGTGGGAGTGTACACGGAAGAGGCGAAAGAACAGTACAAGAAACTGTTGAGGAAAAATATTGGCCAACTTGATCAAAACGAGCAGTGGTGGAACGTGGACAAAAAATACGCAATGGAAGGCCTTGGATTTGCCTTTTTCGACATCGACATCGTCCAGCGTGAAAGCACTTACAACAGAGAACCAAAGCGCTACATTCTAGTACTTTTTAAAATTTTTAGTCATCCAATCAAAAATCTCAAGTCCCATCCTCATATTCTTTTTTTTTTCCATCTCCTGACAGATTAGTCCACCGACGGATAGTGTCATCGATATGAACGACTTGCTGATGTCGAGATACATGGACAAACTACGATACAACCCGAACAGAGATTCGTACTCTAGCTACAGCACGAATGTTAATATCGATAATAGTAACGATTACGCCACTGAAAGTAAGAACTTGGAGCTGAAAAAGTTTATAAATGAGTTCAACAAGGTTGGCTGGTAATTTTTACGGTTAATCGAAAATAAAACGACTAATTGATGTATTAAAAATTGGCATTTCTTTAGATTTTGCCCTACGAAAAGTTTGACGACGTACTGTTCAGAGACGACATTTCACCCAAACCAATAACACTATTAGAGTGGCAAAGAAAGTGGAGTGAAGTTGCTTTGCATCACGCGCATTGCAAAGTAAGAGAAATTCAAGCACATGTAGTTCTCAAAAACACATTGTTCATGATAAAAAAAAAAAAAAAAAATGTTTCAGCTAAACTGGCGAAACATACTCGACAGTTTGTTCAGCAAAATAGACCGACGAATATACGAAGACGAGCAGATCATATTGGTCGACGAACAATACTTCTACCGATTGATCGAACTTCTTCGGCAATCGTCTAGCATGAATACAATTGGTGAAACAAAAAACCAATAAATAAAATTAACAATCGTGGTTGTAAATTAATGAGCGTCGACTCTTTTTTCAGTGGATTACATAAATTTGAGATTCGTTTCCAAGACGATTGGGTCGGTCGTCGAGGAGTACAAAGAAAAGTACTCGATCGTACCTCCGATAAAAGGGTCGGTAAACAGTGAAATCCAGTATGTGGTGCTCGTCAATCTCATTTGTAACGATGAAAAAAATAATTTTCAGGCTAATTTGTACGCCGGGTTTACTGGTTGGCGCTGCCCACGTTTACGCGAAACAATTTTTCCCGCGCGATAACAAGGAAACCGTAAGATTATTTTTTGCACACGTGTATACATATAGCTCCGAGGGTGCACTCTAGTCAAAGGTAATAATGTTACAGGTGGAGGGAATATTCAGCGCAGTCAAGGCGGTAATCGAAAAGCAGTTGGGGAGCGACAATTACAATGTGCAAGCGACGTCGGATGCGACGAAAAATTTCCTGAGGCAACTGAGCAGCTCCAACGTGCTGATCGGCTATCCCGATTGGCTGTACAGCGAGAGATTCGTTAAGAACTTTTACGGAAGTCGCGTGAGTGAATTTTGTGGGCGTCGAACATTTTTGGAAAATTCGTACCTCTATAGGCTTTTTCTGAATTTTACAGATTGCCATCAGCGAAATATACTACGTCAATCAGTTGAGGCTGATGGAAGTCTTGTTGAAGCACAAGTTGAGAGCTTACATGGACATGAATTTGTCACTAACCGAGTGAGTGTTGAATTTTTTAATTCGTAACGAAAAAAAAAAAAAAAACAATTAAAAAATCTTCCAAAGTCCAGTTTTTTTTTCAAAGATCGGTATTATACTTTCAGCATGAAACTCTTTTTCAAATCGTTTACGGACGAAAGAATCAGTTTTTCCAAGTATCTCAATCAAATCAGTAAGTTTTTGAACACCATAAAAAATCTACAAAGCAGCAAACTAAAAGACCGATCGATTTTATTTTCAAACAGTTTTACCGGTAAGAGCTTTCAGCGAGAACAACTTTAAATTTTTGAGCACGCAGCTGTACGAGTGAGTACATAAATATTTATATAAAAAAGTAAAAAATCGATGCTGCAATGCATAATATCGTGATTGTTGTAAATTATTTACACAGGCCAATTAATTATGGAGCCGCTGGGACGGTAATCGCTTCGGAACTGTACTCGGTGTGGTTGAGTAAGTGACGATCTCCTGATGATTACAAATATCACTCAAGGGTTGTAATTTTCATAGATTTTTTTTTTTTTTTTTTTTTAGGAAGGATTGCGTACGATCAAAATGCGACACAGTGTGTCCGACATCAGCTGCCGGCGCATACCGATGAAATCGGGGTGAGTAACGACAAATACAGACAAAAAATTCATGACAGGTTGGGGAAAAAGTTATTCGGAAAAAACGTGTAATTTCAGACAAACGAATACCTTTTGAAAGCAGTTGCACACCTACTCGGCTTGAAAGCTGCATTTGAGGCTTGGCCGTCGAAAGACTCTTACCCGATCCAGTTCCCGAAATTCGGCGCAGTCACGGATTACCGGCTCTTCTTTCATTCGTTTGCCGAGGTATGACATTATTCTTATCCGTCCATACATCATATTTACAAAACAATACCTTTCTCTACGCAAGGAAATAATATTTCTCTCTTTTGGCATGATTGCAGTCACTTTGTGTTGCTAAAGAACATAAAGGCGAGCTGTTCCAACCCTACGAGTTTATAAACTTTGCGGTGTCGAACATGGCAGAGTTTTCGGAGGCCTTCAAGTGTTACAAGAATCACAGGATGAATAGGCACACAAAGTGCGATCCATTGAAATATTGATCATTGTAATTTGTATTTTGTATTTATATTTATATAAGTTTACCACATCTTGCGAGTGTATTAACTCGAGATCGTACCTATGCATGTGAAGCCGTGTACTATATACATACTGATGGGTATCTCAATATCATTTTTGTAACTTATTGCATCGCTCCAGCCAATACCTAAATCTAAGGAAAATTTTAATACATTAATTTTACTTGTAACATTATGATCTAAGTCACGAATGTTTTTGTAGAAATCTTACTTTTATGTAATTATTTAAATATACTCTTAAACAAATGTATTTATCAACAAATAAAACATCTTTATGAATAATTAACAACGATACTTGTACTTGAAAAAAATAAGTAAGTAAACACACATAAGATGAGCATTTGTTGCATCTCCGAAATCGCAAATGCCGCTCTCCTGCAGCTATATATAATACAGCACATACGGTGCAGTGTGTTGGAGTAGCAGAATTAGCAGAAACAAATAGAGAGAGAGAGAGATAGAGAAGTGAACGGGACGACGACGTCGACAACGGGACTGCAAATGTGCTAACTATACGTACTGCAGGCGTTTCAACATATTTACAGGTAGAGAATTACATAAAAAAGAAGATAAAGGCAATTACCGATGGGCGTCCTACATCGAGCTCTGTTCACATGGTTTACTCTGCTGATTTCCCTGATACTCCTAAGCTTGAAGCTCAATCAAAAGATACAATGGAATTGGTTCATAGTGATTGTGCCTATGTGGCTGTACGACATTATACTGTTGATTTACATAGTGTTCAGGATGGTGGTGTTTTGCAAAAATGAGATCGCCAGACCGTCCCCGAGTCGAATGGTAATTTTTCTTCTTCTGTAATGTTTTATTACCTGTCATGCAGCCGAGGTATACTTATCTTACTCCTTTTAATTACCATTGTTGTGTGCTTGTGTTTTTTTTTTTTTTTTTTTTTTTTTTTTTTTTTTTTTTTTTTTTTTTTTTTTTTTNTTTTTTTTTTTTTTTGATAATTACAGTTGTTAGGTAACACACTGAAATCTGCGGTTCATTTTTACGCAAACTGACGTTGATATCCGTCATAGTTCCTATTTTTTTTTTTTTTCCTGTAGGTGTGGTACGTTATTGCAGTACTCTTGAAGCTAAGTGCTCAATTTCTTGTGTGCCTCAAGCTGGAAGCAATGCTCACAAGGCTGTCGTTTGTAATAGTTCTAGCACCACTCGGTTTATTATTTGCTGCATTTTCGACAGACGTCGTTCTCAACTTGATGGATCAATCGAACAATCAAGTAATGTGAAGTTTTCAACGTTGAAAAAAAGTTTTCCAGGCGGCTCTACAGATTCCAAAACTGGTGAGTTTGATCAAAGATTAGTGACAACTTCTTATCTGATCATAAAGTTTTTAACTGTCTGAACGTTTTGCGTTTATTATATTTGATGAAAATGAAGGTCAATCATAGTTGAGCTTGATAATGTGCATGTTGGACTTACTTTTCATTTTTCTTGTGTAAAAGAAGCCACAAATACTCTGTCAGTGTATGAGAAAGAAGACACATGTGTCACAATTCTAATCATTCTGCCTTGTACCACTTTTTACGGTAAAGAAAATATTTTTTTACCTTTGAAAAGACACACCTTATGTAACGGAATAGCATGTGCTATTGGGCACATGACTTTTATTTGTTCATCTGATCACAAAGTATCAAAAGTGCAAAAACTTGTAGCCTCTTGGGAGTAAAATTTTAGTAGGCTTTAGCAGTCACTAGTTGAATGTTAAGAAGTTCAGTAACAAGGTGGGAGTTTCGGCTTGCTATAAATAATCTTGATGAGCCAAGGATGAATAGGACACAGATATAAATAAGCATAAGCAGTTCTTAGTTATCGGGTCCACTGTCATTAGTATTTTGTTAAGTTCTTTTCAATGAGCTCATTTCTATAATTTTCTTGTGTTTAAATATTTCAGTTCATGGAATATTCTAAAACCCCGAATACTCAGTGCTCAACCCTTGTCTCATGTGAACTTGTGTTTCAAAGACCATTCAAAAATTTTATTTTCAATTAACAAACATGCTAGTGCCATCTTGTCTAAGTGTACAAGAGGTAATATTGTTGCTAAGATTGCAACATATTTCATTGATTTCATAATCTAGCATCTATTTATTGCGCTTTTAAGCTATTTAGAGATAAAAGTGTCTTATTGATTTTCACGCCAAATTCTATTTTACAGATGATAAAGTTAATTTTGCTATGTTTATGCCTGACCGTGGCAAAGCATAGTGTGGTGGAAGCTTCCATTATAGTTAAAGAAGTTCAAGCTGGAGATTTGGTGGAGTTGCCATGTTTAAGCAATGATGACCATCATAGATTTATGTTCTGGCAATTGACAGATCACAGCCACGTCATAAGCCCTGGAAATCCTGTAGATGAGCAAAAGTACAAATATGAAGTTCTCACTGGCAAATTATTTATTAGGGTACCTTTTGTTTCTTACAAATTCAAAAATATCATAATCATTGCTGCGATGATTATCTTATGACGAAATTACGTGTCATTTGCAGGCTGTATCTACAGCCGAGGCGGGGTTCTATAGCTGTATTTCAAGAGGCGTGGAAAATAGTGCAACTATTAACATTAACACTGTGGAATTGATTGTGAAAAAAGAAGTCCAAGTGGAAAGTTCATTCGAGGTGACGTCAAAAATGTTCTTTAAATATTTACCCAATGGTTTAGCTAATTAATTGTAATGTAGCAAATGATAAAATTTATTTTTAGACAAATCTATTGCGTGGAATGGCAGTGGCGACTGTCATAGTTGTTGGTATTGCTGTTGCTCTCTTAGTGATCATTCTGAGGCGACAACGAAATCACAGATTCTTCGGTAAGCTACTGTTCATATTATTCTGTTACATATTATTAAGCTTCTACGTCATATACATCGCCATATGATACACGTAGACGTAATGGAAGAGTCAAGAGAAAATTCTCCCGCTAAATACGTGGGTACAATTCAGTCTGCTCCGGTAACGCCGGCGCCTAGAACACTCGAAGCTGAAGGTATTGACAACATGGGCTTGGACGTTGATTTTCCAAGAGTTTTTCAACAAATGCAGGACAGACCAATGTAATTGATTTTTAATATTTTAAAATCAAAGTACACACGAAACGTGCGACGCAACCATACTGCCGATGTATTTTGTAATTTGAAAATTAGTGTATGGTCCGAGTACAAGTTTTTGACGATTTTTCAAATTGTGCAATATCGTTATACAATGTTAAATCTTAAGTGAAGCCTAGGTAAACAAAAAACAAAGAGTAATTTTTTAAAAATAAGGATATTAGTCTTGTGTAAGTTCATTGTGTAAGTGGTGATGATTGTGTGGAATATTTGATAAAAGTATTGTAAATATTGTGAAATAAAAAACTTTATTGTGTTTGATTTCGTTTAACGTAACTATTAAAAATAAAAAAAATCAATAAAAAAAAAAAAAAACTATTTGTAATATTATGTACAAGAAATAACAAGTTGATTGTCTTAAAAATTTAATTGCGATTTAAATTTCAAGATGTAATCTATGTACCTGGTGTACCTGGTGTAACATCCATCATGCTATCGTCTACAGTTGTATCCTCTTCATCTTCATCTTCTTCAGGGTCGACTTCAGTTTCCAACAATCTAATTTTTCTTTTGTTTTCACTAAGAATCGCAGCTACTTTTCGCGGACCGCTAACAGCCAGTTTTCTCGGACAAATGTCAAGGAAAGGCTTAGATAAACTGGGATCTGCCACTTCATTTAAATTTACCACGTGTTCTGGCTTTACGTTCAACGGATCGTTTAATTTGGCGTGATTCAGGGGTAGTTGAATTAAACACGACATTTTATTTTCATCATTCAAGACTAGTACGCTTAAGAAATCTTGTGAATAAAATTGCAAGTCCGAAACTTTTTGTTCTTCTAATCGTTTTGAAGGAGTTGACGGAGCTGTACAAAAATTGACCAATTACTAAATTAGTTCAAAGAAAATATTTCTATTTATTTTTTTGGACGAATTACCTTGTTTGTTACCAACGTCGATCTTGATCGTTTTAGAAATTAATGGATCATTCATAGCTGTAAAATTGATTTTAAATAACTGAAGTATTTTGAAGTCTCCACTAGGAACGGCAAACATCAAATTCCCGTCATTGGTAACAATTTGTGAACACAAAGTATTTGTCACAGAACTGAGCTGCATGACTTTTTGTTTAAAATGGTGAGTCAAGTCGTGGTATGCATAAACAAATACTTCGTTAACGGCTTTAATAAGATTAGTGTGCGCTTGAAGTAGAGAGGAATCAAAATCTTGAGTAATAATAAGAGGATGATTTTTCAAACACGTATTCTCGACCAGCATAGCAGCCCATTCACTTCCTTCTGGATAAAAGCAAGTTTGCAAAGGCTCTTCTCTCAAATATTGTCCAAGTTTTTCAACATTTACTGTCTTACGTGAACTTGCTCTCTCTTCTATCTTATCAAAACCGCGCAAAAATTCAGCAATGTTGGTAAGATCTTGCTGGCTAATTTTACTCATTTCAGATGGAACTCTTTCATCGTTCAGTCTCAAAATTATTGTATAGAGCCACCTGTAAAAAAAATTTAAAGTATTAATTTTCATAACTGGTACAGCTATCATCGAGGTAATATTCAACAACCTACTTAATAAAAGCTTTATAATCACGCATGCTGTGCTCAATGACTTGTTGAATTTCGGAAGTTTTTGCCAAGAAAGTTTGGATGGTACTTATGGCATTCGTGATTACAGTTTCTTCCTTAAGACCCAGAGCTTCGTAGGCTCCACCAAATCTTGCCATACCTCTCATTTCCGCTAAATGATATATCAAGGCCATCCCAACACTACTTAAATGTTTTAGGGCTAATTTCTGAATAACCGTTGTATATAAATGGTTGCGTTAATAACAGCACTATGATTTTAAAAAAAACTTGTATTACCTGTATATTACTGTAACACATATCTATGCTATGACCTAGTTTTTTCAAGCCTTTTTCAGTCAGGTCTCTCAAAAGAAAATTAACCAAATCTGGAGTAGGTACACCAATCATTAAAAGCTCTAAAAATTCTGCAGCTACAGTGCCCTGTGGTTTGTCAGCAGCATACTTGGCTAATTTTTCATCCATCTCCAGGAGAATAGTCTCCCATGATTCAGAAATAGCCATTAGTGTTCTTGACAAGTAATCCATCAAACATTCCACATGGGCTTGAATCTGTGCTATCTTGAAAGACAAAAACATTTCTAAATATTAATATTTGCTTCATGTTTGTTCAATTCTGTGCAGTGATCATACTAACATTTAAAAAAGCTTCATTATTTTGGAGAAGAGAACAGGATAGCCTGACAACAACTACACATTCGCTGCTCTTCCAGCTCGCCCACAAAGCTTTGCCAGCACCACCACTGATTTCCAGAACAGGTCCATTGCCAATTGTTATTATGCCACATTGAAACATTCCATATATGTACATTATGATTTGACCATTTTCTTGACCTAGCTAAAAAAAATCTGATTAAATTTTTTTTTTTTTTTTCTACACTCTTATTCAATAAACTTACAAACAGCATATCCAAAGTCTGGGACAAATACTCCTTTCTCTCCAACTCCTGGCCACCAAAGCTTCTACTCAAAGTCGGTAGGGGTGGCAGGTAAGGACCAGTACAAGAGAGATTTTTCTTTTCACTGTCACCACAGCTGGTACAAGCTGATGGTGTGAGAGACAGCCAGGCAATGCAAGTGCAGTGCTCCTCGGATTTTATCTTAGTCTTGTGGACGATGTGTTTGTTCTCAATATCCACTAGGCACAAGAATTTTGAGTTCCCGTAAATGACCGCTATGAGTTTGCTGTCTGGCCTCCAGGCAACGTTTGTTATACTGTCTCCTTCTTCTGGTGGGCTCAAAAGCCACACTCTCTGCCAGTTTAATCGATGCAGTGCCAATTCTCCTGTGAATATATTTTCATTGGCAATAGTGTTGGAAAATTATTTTTAAAATTAACATAAATAAGCCAAACCTTTGGTATTGGCTATGGCCAAAAGATCCATGTTCAAAGACCATCTCATAAGTACAACCTCGTTGGGAAGCTGGCGTTCTTCTAAGTGTTTTATAGTTCCCGACATTCTCGTCAATGATACTTATGTCTTAGTACTTAATTATCACAGTGTCCCCTTCAAATACAAAACGTAATACGTAAAAAGCAGTTTTTGTATTTATTTTCATTAAACACCGGCTATGCTTTCATAATGACAATGGGAATCTCTTTTCTGGAGTCTTAGCATGGCGGGGCACGACTGGCACACGAGTCGGCGAAGTCGCGTAACGTTTGGTTAGGTCTAGTATTTATACGTTAGGTTATGTTTTGTAAATATAAGTAAACAAAACGTGAACATCTGAACAAGGGAGAGGTTTAGTTTAGTACAGAAGTCTATTTTACGTGAAAAAAAAAAAAAAATAGGCTAATAGACATAATAAGAAAAGCATCATCAAGATATTATCTTAACGACTTGAGAATGTAATGATTATAATATACCGAAACGCAGAACGTTGTTGAATCCTTAAGTTTCCTTATTATTCCTGTGGTTTAACGAGAAGAACCATTTCTTTGAATATGATCAATTTATTTACATAATCCTATTTAGATATAGAGTGCTTCATCTTCTCATTTGATTTATCGATTTAATTAACAAATGTTATTTTAACATAAATTGGAGTTTTTTTATAAATTAGCAAAAGTTCTGGCTGACAATACAACAGTGTTTAATTTTACTATCATAAAGTTAGCTCGATCTTATTTTATTTATCATTGTTGTAAGGTGAATTTCAATTTTTGAAAAAACACAAATTCATCACGTCTAAGAACAACAACCACTTAAACGCCACATTGTTGGGAAGAAGAATTGAACGCTTTTCTGTTTTAATTATTGAAATTTGTCTCAAAAATTTTGTACCTATTATAACTTATATATAAAATTAAAAATTACCATTTTTATGAATAATGAATTGATTGTATTTGATACAAGTCCAATACAAGTCCGTCTCCTAGATGATATTTTTTAAAGATAGAAAATTTTCAAATAGTTTACTGCTAACGATTTAAAAGTTTGACAACTTGACGTTCCGAATGTAAAAGTCGGTAAGTCGAGACGTGCAAGATCGAGAGAAATGAATAAGTACATGTTCATGCTGTCTCTCTCACCCAAATAATATTTACTTGCTCTTTTACTTAATAAGTAGGTAAGCAGGAATAAATATAAATCTTAGGTGAATGGTATTTGCCAGTGCTATTTGTTGTGCAGAATCCCAGTATCATACAGGTGGCTCGTGGCGACAACATCGTATGAGCGGCAGTATTCGGTATAATTACCGAGAAAAAAAATATCAGGATTGTTGACGTCTGCCCGCGTTCGATATCAGAAGTAAACTAAACTTCAAGCTTCTACTTAATACGCATCCGTAGAATGTAACAAAGTTTTAATCAAAACCATAAAATTTTCGAACTTTATTTATACAGCATTTATTGTTTCAACAGTTGTATGTGAGCTCTATATCTTTTTTGGCCATCAAATCAATTAAATTCATTGTCAGGCTAAAAATTCTGAGGATATTGCAAGTTGCATACTCATGTGTACTCATTAAACTACTAGAATCTTGTTAAATGTAAGTCGCATTTTTATGTGAATAAGTTTTAAATAATCAAATTTCTTCAATGTATGTGTAAATACTAACGTATTAATATAATTGTTATAGTGGGAAAATAATCACTTTCTTGTGTATTTAGTCAGTTAAAGATGAACGACAATATTCGTGATTATTCATCTTATCCCATTCACCATGCTATCAAAAATGGTGACATGAATAAATTAGAAGAGTTACTCAAGTCTGGCAAATACAAAGACGATACTAAAGATTCAGATGGCGAAACAGCAATAGATTTAGCTGTGCAGCTGAGGAATTGTTTTGCAGTAAAACTTTTACTCTGCTGTGGATCAAAGACGTACGATGAGGTGAGTAAAAGTTGGGCTTCTGAAAACATAAATTAATTAAAAGATAACGCAAAGCTGTCTCGTAGAAAATTAAAAAATGTATATTTATGCTGTAATCACTAAAATTTTTTGTTCATGCTAGATCAAACTCTCGGAAAAAAGTAAGAAAGCTCTTGCCCTGAAAGACCAGGATCACAATGACAAAGAGTCTATTTTGTTTGACGCAGTACAGCAGAAGAATAAGGATGTTATTCGAGCACTAGTGTTTTGGGATGCAAAACCAGATCGATCAAACTTTGAACACTACAGCTCCTTGTATCGTGCCACGAAAGACCCTGTATTAATCTCTTTTCTCCTTAATTTGGTCATTCACTTTGATAAAATTACCACACTAAAGCAGGGTTGGTGCAATGAAATTGTAGAATTTCTAAGAGGCACTAGCTTAGAAAATGATGATAATCCTTTTTACGACTCTTGTCCACTTGAATACGCAATCAGAAACGCCAGCGTCGAGATGGTCGAATTCATACTGCAGCATAAAGGCATACATCATGGTCCCCCAAATTACTTGAAAGAGGCCATCACGAGAAATTCCGTTCAGAATGCGTTAGATAAGATAAACTTGCTGATAAAACATGGCGCTAGTATAAATTACACAGATAGTAAAAACAACACGCCACTTCATACAACAGTATGGGACACCAATAAGTTTGAAGTTCTTTGCTTACTCCTGTACCACGGTGCAAACGTTCATGCGGTTAATTTATTTGGAACTACGCCTATACAGCAAGCGTTACTTAGAGAAAGAGAGCGTTTCTTTAAGGTACTGTTGTTTTGCATGCCAGATGTTTCTTTGAATGATTTCCAGCAGCAATTGGTCTCTTTAACTGATACAAACGACACAAATGGAATAAAAGTGTACCTATTGGATTTTATTAACTACGTAAAGAGAGGTGGGACTTATCTGGATTTAGAAGAAATGCTGTACTACTGTACCAAAAGATTTATAGCTGGTTTGCATTCTGATGCAAAACTACGGAAAAATACTTATTACACTCCGGAAATCAAGAAATGTATGGTAACTTGTGCAAGGGAGTTAAGTTTATTGAAGAAGACAAACATATGCGAAGATGTGACATTTTTTGACGTTTTACACGCCAAAAAACGTCGTCTAGTATCTCTAGTTAAAAAACCCGAAGTACGAAAAGCTTTTGTACACTTTGAGACGGAACGATTTCCTATATACACGGGTATACTCGACAGAAAATTACTCGAAGGTATCCTGTGCGAGCCGTTTTACGACACGATGCTTGATGAATGGAGCAACATTTTTCGAGTTCCCAGTATGCAGCTACCGGATCATATTCTCGAGAAAATTTTGAGTTATCTTAGCATAAGTGATATGATAAATTGGAGAAAGGCAACGAAACAACCGAACAGTGATTTCTCAGGTTCATCGATTTCGAATGTAATTTCGAAAATAATCGGTTCAGTATTTTGTTCGACTTTGAACTTGTTTTCATAACTTGTACTCGTATCTTTTTTTAATTTTTTTTTTTTTTTTATAAATGCTACGTGACAATAATTGATCATAATAATAATTGAAAGTCTCTGTAACACACACAAATAAATCACGATTTAAAAAAACGTGTATCAAGTGTAGATCATGTAAATGAAAATCGGTAATTTCAATATTGGGATGGTTCAAGGTGCCAGCGACGGAAGGAGAAGACAAGAGAGACGCCTTTTTTTTCAAGCTCATTGGTCTCGAATCGACCATCACTGCCATCGTATTTTTAGTCGCGTACCTCGCAAAGGCGTGAATGACCCTGACATCTCAAGTTTTTCGATGCAGCAGCGGAACGGACATTCCGATGGGATTATTCCAGCTTTGTCGACGAAAAGAAAAAAAAAAAAAAAAAAAAAAAGAAGGGGCAATTTAATAGATTTAACAGCGTAAAAAAAAAAAAATTACAAAAAAGAAAAAAAGAAAAGCTCGATCTCTCATTTGACCAGCAAATGTTTCATCTTCTTGCCTCTAGCACCGCTCACAGAGCCCATACATTTTTAAACCCGAGTAAGTAAAGTATACACCGACGATGGCTCTGCAAGCTCAAGCTGTTATACATCATATCCACACACTCGTAGTCTCTGATTCCTCGTCGTTTGTCCATCTGTCTACGGTAGACGCGCGAAAAAGGCGGAAAGAGAAGCCGAGGAAGTAAAAGACAACAACGGAGCCAAAGACCCGCCACCCCCTATATGTATACATGTATACACCAACCCCTCGAAGGTGCATATATTGTGCATATGCATGCATGGTCGCGCGTATAAGTACACGCCAGCCAGACAAAAGACAAAGCGCGAGGGAGGAAAAAAAAAAAAAAAAAAAGAGTATCTCCAAGCGCTAAAAGGGAGGAGCGACGCCGTATACACCGGCAACCACCGGCTTTTGCAAAGGGCGTGCGAACGAAGAAGGGCCACAAGTGCCGCGTGTGCATATAGCTCTTTCTGTGTGTCTTTACCTGATACTAGCTTTTTTTTTGTTGCCCAAAGGCTATATACAACGTATGGACGTGTACCGTCAAAAGAGGGTGTAGCGAAAAGAAAAAAAAAAAAAAAAAACCCAATAATGTAACCTACCCATGTACGTATGCATATATATATATGTAAATACCGTAAACCTCAAACAGTCGTTAAGTTGCATTCCTCTCTTTTTATTTGATCTGATCGAGGTATACAGTGAGTCTTATACACACATGTATACTATATGCGTACAGTAGAAGGAAAAAAGGGGAGTTGGAGAGAAAATAACGTGAAAAGAGAGAAACANAAAAAAAAAAAAAAAAAAAAAAAGAACAAATGTTTTCAAGAGGATTTTTGTTTTCTCTTTTGTCGTTCGATCATGTACTTCCACACCAAAAATTTCTGTGTACTCCACTGTGGAATAAGCTTTGATCTCGTGTGAATTAACTTCTCCGTCCCTTCAAACCTCCGTCCTCACCTCTGTCAAGAATAAATAAAACTTAAAAAACCAAGAATCAGAAAAAAAAAAAAAAAACCAAGTATATTACACTTCTTCGCCGAGGGATCGTTGCAAGCGCGCTTCATACGAGGAAGGGCAAAGTGCGTTTCGAAGGAAGTAGACAAGGAGGCGGTTGTGGTGGTGGTGGTGGTGTTGGTGGTGGCAGCTGTTGCTGCTTTCGGGGGCGAGAAGATGATTCGCGTGGACGAAACCGATCCTGTTGGCGGTGAGTGACTCTGTATACATATATATATATGTATTTTTTTTTGCAATACAAACGCGATATGTTTGCGTTTGTTTACTCGTGGTATCCTCGTGAAATTTCGGTGCGCTTGAGCTTGCGAAGCTTCGATCGCTCGCTACCGATCACGCGCGATCGGAGGCAGTTTATTTATTTTTTTTTTTAGTACTGAAACCCCATTTTCCACGTATCGAAACAAGTGAACGAACGAATCTTCCTCGCGAACTGCTCCAATTGCAACCAAGATCCACCGTGGGAATAGCGCCCCGTCTTGGGACTCTCTAGATAGGAATCGTTAAAAAAAAAAATCGGTCAATTAGCTTCACGTGAGTACAGATTGATCATTATGTATATATCCAACTCCAACCAGTCACACACGCAACTATATAACGCGAACGAGTGAACAATTTGCATCAGCAAGAGTAAATACGTACTTGTAAGCGAAGAGGGAAGGTAGTATATAAAGTATAATGTATCTGCCTTCTTTTGTAATATCGATCGAAAGCAAGTGTAGGTATACAGTGGCTGGGAAACTCGCACCGGTGCAGCCGCTTCTATTATTATTGCAGTAGGTACACACCCGAGGGAGCACCGGAATTCACGATTCTGTCCCCCTCCCCCCCCCCACGCCTCAAACCAGCACTCGGGCTAATTAAAGTAAATGCGCTTTGTGTTCGAATTGAGGTGAGCCCGCGGCGTATGTAGCGTACGCGTATAGCTGCACCTACATATATATTAATTCGATGAAGGAAAAAAAAAAACAATAATCGGATGCACGTGTGGAAACAAGAACAAATCACCGGCGTCAAATGGAACGGGGGGGCTGGAGGAGTGAAATCCTATCACAATAAGTCGAGTGCGCACTCTTTTGCCATAAGTTCACGGACAATGAGCGCGCGATCGTTATCTTACATAACGATAATAACGTAGACACGCTCAAAAGATAAAATGGTAAGGAGGAAGAAAAGCGCGAAAAATTCCCACGTACAAGTAAGAGGCGCATAAGTGTATATATGTGCATACGGTCGCATTATTCAGATTATATAGAGTGAAAGCGAGGGTTCGGGTGCGCCGGGGGTCTGGTATAATACGTATATGTATATTATTTGCGGAATGTGGAATTGGAGCAGTAGGAGATTTACCTACACGAATCTCCTCTTCTCCCCCCCCCCGCCTTGTCTGTCGCCCGTGTATCTATATACTTACAAGCTCGCAAAGTTTATTTCGGATCGCTGCTTGTTCCCCCCCCCCCATCTGCCTCCAGAGGTGTATACATGGATCCGACAACAATCGGCTCAACTGGTGCGATGCGTGTTACATGTACGATCGACGGAAACTGTACCGCCGTACACGCGAGACGAGTGCTCTTGTCTTTCCACTGCTTTCAGCCGCGGCTGTGAAAATTTGTATTTTCAACTGTACAGGTCGCGAATCTTGTCCCTTAACTGTGCGCATACATGGAAAATTGTGGATAAAATACACTCGAGTCGGCTTTTGTTGTAGTAGCGCGTGTGTATATCTTATATATATTCACCCCATGGAGATATTATACTTCTAATATGCGCGCTCGCTGTGATGCCGAAGCGCTCCCAACTATTCTTAGTTGTGTTCGAGTTAGAGCGCGAGAATTACCACTCTCTGGCTCTCCCTTTGGGCTCTTTCTCTCTGGTGTGTGTGTATTATATTAATGATACCGAGAAGAGCGCTACACGATCGGCTATAACTTTTCGAGAGGGGAGCTTTCGTTAAACCGTGTGTTAAAAGGTCCTTTTTCTTCTTTTTTGGCCCATCGATTGGGGATGGTGTTTTACGTAAGGGCATACGCGGAGCTTTTACTATTTTCGCTTGAGTTTCACCTTTTGATTGAGGCTAATTCATAAGTCACCGTATTGGTAAGACCGGTAGAGGTGTCGTTGCCAAGATGACTATGTATAGCTTTAGGGGGGGGGGGAACTTTTTTCGATTTTTCCATCGCAAACTATGATTAACCAGAAAAAAAGGGGTGTAAGTAAGAGTTTGTTGATCGGTAATGTACGCAAACGCATTGAAACAGACTGTAACTATATAAGTAGGCTTTTATGGTTCAATTAACAAGTGTTATTTCTTCTGTACATCTCAACTCAACTGCGTATTATCATAATGTTCATTTATTACGATTCATTCGGGTAATTAACCGAAAGCTCTGCCAAAACGTGCTTATTGAAAATATGAGTAATTAGGACAACCGAGCAAAAGTTTGTTGGGTCGTTTCACTCGCCACCGGCATCGATCAGTTAACTGGAAAATTGCCTAACACCGTTTTAATCCTCTATTTTTTTTTTTTTTTTTTTTCACCAATGTAAGGTAACAATTCGTTTACACAAGTAACACATGTATGTACACACATATATATCTTTGAATGGGTATATAATTCACTTTACCTGTCGGATAATCGGTATATATACGTTATACTTCTCAATGACCGTTAAAATCAAGATTCGATTGTATTAATGGCGTGTAATTTTGATGTGCTTTCAGAACTCGAGCCGAGCTTTCCCTACCGAGATGTCATTGTGCGCAAAAACGTCGAGTTCAAGGAGTACTACGACATAGAATCGGAAATCGGCAGGTATGGATTATTTTATGTTTCAACGCCGTCAGACATCACGGGGAGTTACGTCACCCGTAAAAGCCGAACGATACATGTACAGAGAAAGGAAGGGCAAACCGGCGCCACGAGAGCGAAAAGAGAGAAAACCCAGTATAATATACGTATGCGCTTATAAAAGCTCTTTTTTTTTTTTTTTTTTTTTGTTGGCCGGTGTACAACAGCCAGCCAATAACCGCGCGAGAGAGGGCGGAAGAGATGAATCGCGAACGGCGCGCCAGTCAATTTTGATTATGGCATCGTGTTTGGCAGGCGTCCGCAGACGCGCTCCTCGGATCGGCGGACAGGAGGAAGCAGCGGCACATCGCGTGCTTCGCGTTTCGAAATACGAGCCACTCCCCCGCGTGTTTTTCACCCCCTCCGCCTCTCTTTCTGTACTCAACCCCCTTCTGGGTGTATACATTATATATGACGCGTGTGTGTATATACACGTTGTAACGTCGAGCTGAGCTTGGTTTTTTGGCTCGAGCTTTCAAGAAGACGTATAGGCATTGTTTTACTTCACACGCAGTTTCCTCAATGGATTGTGGTTTTTTTTTTTTTTTGCACTCGCGGGTGCAGTGATTCACTTTTGCGCGATGTGTTTTCGACTTTATCGTGTATACCTCGGTTTAGAAATTTAGAGTCTCCGACCCGGGTTCACTTGGAAAAAAAACGCGCATTGTAATTGAATGTGTCTTCAGGTGATGCATCAATATGATGTGCTATATGTATTTTTTATACGAGTTAGTTTTTCGATGCGATTGTCCGGCTATTTCGAGACTGGCCGAGCGAATCAAGAGAATATAGGTGAGCATCTGTCACGAGCATTTCGGTGCGGGGAGCACGTGTCAGGGAACATGCTTGCCGAGTCAATTATTGGGTAATGAGACGAAACGGAGAGACGGTGGAGCGCTTTCGCGACGAGAGAGAGTACCTGTACGCGTACACTTTGCGTCACGATAAATAAACTTTTTGGTCGTGCCGAGCTTGTGTTATGTATATATGTATATTGTTATTAATAGAGCAAAGTTTTTATTTGTTTTTTTTTTGTTGCCCCACACTACACTTTGTGAGTTAAGAGGAAAAAAAAAGAAAATCGTGGGAGTAGGTATATTTTATTTTTATCGAAAAAAAAAAAGGCGGTGGATGTATACATAATGATGCGTGAGAATGTCGAGGTCAAGAGCGATTGTTAACTTGGGAGGGCGTCCGGTCTTTCTTGCTTGCGCTCATAAACCAAACGAAATTTCTTCGCTAGAGCGGACGCTCGTAAATCCCGAAAAATATGCATCACCAGTCCGCTGATGAATGCCACCCCGGATCGAAGCCAACATTATATTTCAAAGCTCGCGTGCATGTTGATCTCTAAACGGTGTTACGTGGTGATTTTTTGCGTCTTTTACCAAATTTCCGTTGATTTTTTTATTTTTTACAAGAAAAAATAACGCGTTGTCTTAAAATATGCTCGTAGCTTGGATGAATCGCCAATAGTTGTGTAGCCTACGCATGATATTCAATCATGTTTGCTTTGAATAAAATAAAAATTCTGAATATGGTTGATAGCAAAAAAAAAAAAAAAAAAAAAACAAGTGAGGGACGGAAAAGTAAAACTCCTGTGGTTGTCGTAAAATTTAATTTTCGTGATAGTTTGTTACGATACGTGATTCTCTGTTATATCGAAAGCTATATATCTTTTGAAATTATCAAAAAAAATTTCAATTTGGTTCTTTTTTTTTTGTTTTTTTGTTTTTCATTACTGTAAACGCAGCAGATTAGATAATATGTGTTATCGTGACCTCTGATTAATTCATGAATCTTTAAACCTAATGTTTTTTGAAAGTACACTTGGATAAGTGTAAAATGAATTTAAATGTCCAATTCATTAGCCGTATCGCCTTTGTCCGACTCTCGTTAATTTGACCATAAATTGTTAAGTACTTGAGAAAGCATATTTTAATTTAACTGTCAAGTGTATTAATAAAAATGAGGTTTCTTGGTCAAAGTTTGATATACTTGCATGTGCCCAATACTTGGTAAGTTTATTGATTTTCCAAGAAAAAAAGAAAAAGCAGGTGAAAGAATAAATTCAGTAAAATTAAAAAAGTGTTGTAATTTCAGTAACATTGAAAAAACAAAAACAAACTACTACTGTGCACGTAAAAAGCGAGTACTTCCAATGATTGGATGGTGAAAAAAAAAAAAAAATAAAAAAAATCACGCATCAGGACAGCTTACAAATACGCTTCGATGCACATGCTCTAAAAGCAAAAAATTCCTCGGGAATGATGATATACACATCATAAAAAAAGAAACGAAATGACTTTTCGAGTGACGTATATGCAGGTATACAGTCCCAACGTCTTGCCTCGTGCAAATATATAACGAACAAACGAATGAATGAAAATGCAAAAGCTCGTTCCCTCGAAACGGAGAGACCGGCGAGTCTCGCTCTGCGTGCGGCTCGTTACGTTTGGATTAAAAAATAATACCCACGTACAGGTATATATAAAAACATAGAGGAGCGAGATATATGCGAGCACGACGGGGTGCGCGTCTAATCAAGGTCCCGTCTATAAATAATCGGCTAAAGAGCGTCTACGTGTACACCGGGTCATTGTGTAGAGGGTGGCACTGTACAAGCTTTAAGAGACGGTAGGTGCACGCGTACAATAGCAAAAGGGTTGGCGCGCCGGGTAGACTATATAGCTTGGGTGGCCTCTTGACACGCGCAGGGGTTCACCACGGTGTAGGTATATATATTATATACAGAGAGCCTCTCGGATCATTCGTTCACGGATGCATGTATATACATACATATACCATCACCCGCACCCACAACGTGCATATATATATATATATATGCATGCACACTTGATGGAGCCAGGAGAGGATAAAAAGAACGTGACTTGGCTGCATTACAAATCGGCCGAGTGGCTATATGTGGGTATACGATAAAGCGCCAGCCGATCTCTACGCCCTCCCCGATGCAATGCGGAGGAGGAAGCGTGCGTGGCGCGCCGAAAATTCGTTGTCGTCGCCACGGAGATTCGCGTAGGACGCGCTCGATGGCCCTGAGGGCATGGCCACTGCCGCTATTATGTCCCACCGTCACCGATGCGGCTTTTATAATTANCTGCAGCCAGGTACACTACAAGTAGGCATTTTGCTGCAAAAAACAAGACTATTTTATCAATACACACACACAACTACACGCAAAAGCATACTAAGTATATGTATACACGCTCCTCTGCGTCTATATACTGCTAACTGTTCTGACGACAGTATATATATATATAATTGCTTGCTTACGGCATTATAATATATAATAGGTATATATACGTTTGCGCATGAATGAGCGTGTAAATATAGGCACATGGTGACCGGATGTGTGATGTGTCTGATTTGGAAATTTTCGGGGACTGTATACGTAAACACGAGTGTGTGTGTGTGTGTGTTGGCTATTTTTGTACAATCCTACCGAAAACAGCGTCATGTACGTGTATGGTGCTGGGAAAAAAATAAATAAAATCAAATAAAATAGTTACGAAAGGAACTGATCGGAAATCGGTAGTGTGTGTGTATATATATAGGTATGTTACTCAAAATAATACGTTTGTGTCAAAGTTTATCTTATCTATGGGATGTTTAATTAATCACCTGGGATTTTTTTTTTTTTTTTCATATGTTTATTTTATCAAGAATGTTTATTCGTGATCGTTCAACCTTGTCTACGTATGGAGCAATATCAATCGGAAAGAAATGCCGTTTTCATTGACTATTCGAGAATAATTTCAACTTGAGGACGGCGGGTAATTTAAATATTGCCCAAAGTATATAAGTGAACGGAGATTTCAAGTAGTACTTGCCGCGTTAATAAAAATTAGATCCTATTACTTGCGATTCAAATTATTTTTTGTAGATTAGCTTGTTCTGTACGTATATGCACGCGCACATAAATCTCTGCAATTTACGATGGCGATTTTATGGGCGAATAGTATAGGCACAATGTCTTTGTACACGTATACGATTTTTTGAAATCGGTACTGCAATGGACTCTGGGAAAAGCCGATGTGTACGTGTGCGCATCTTCGTTTCCAAGAAAATAAACCAGAGTTACCTCGTATACGTGCAAAAAAGACAAAAGCGTATAGAAATGTTCAGCCGATCGGGAAACATGCACGAGTGTATAGGCACTTAAAGTTGACGGAGCTACCGATATTTCTCGATTTCGTGAAATAGAAGACATCGTGAGGATGACGATGTTCGCCGAGGGACGTTTGGCTCCAAAAATACCCACGTAATGCTTCCTGACAGCTTCTACCGCGCCGGGTATACATATACACATTATACATATATTAATGGCCGGAATCGGATACTACATTACATCGGAGCATCGTCTTCGCGGCGCCTCTCCCACTCTCTACTTCTTGTATTGTTTGTTTGTTTCTTCTTTTTTTTCCTTCGCTGTTGACCGCTATACTTTTTTTTTTTTTTTTTTCTCCTTCGAAACTTATTCGAAGGTAATTGTCATCGTCCTTCGTTTCTCCTGAAAATGATTATTGCCATGCCCATACAAAGGCTCGACAAACAATATATATATATCACATGCAATCAAAGGTTACGCATGAAACGAAAGGTCGCAAAAAACAAAAAACACCCAAGTCCATTTGTCAAGACGATTATTCAAAGGTTTATCGTATACGGCTCTAGATTGAAAAAAAAAAAAAAAAACAATTTGACACTTTTGTACGCCTACACGCGTGTAATGTCTAAGTATATTGTTATATCAATACAATAAACGAGCGTACGTAGGCCGTGGAGTTTTTTCACCTACACACAGACTAGTTGTACTTTTTGTAGACAGAGAATTCCGACTTATGAGCAGAAATTCCGGTGTTTCGCGGTATGTGGCTCGGCGCCAAAATTTATTTCCCCTTTTGATGAGCGAGAGAGGATCGAATGGTCGAAACAACCGCGGCAGATCCGACGCTCCGTTACACTGATGCGCTCCGTGTGTTGCTAGTTCTGTTCCAAAGTAACGTAGGGAAACGCAACCACCTACGTGATTTACTGGCGCGTAAACTGTTTTGTTTTATTTTTTTTTTTTATCAATTTAAGGAAATGTATAATTGTCTTCCTATCGTCATTCAAACCCATCGAAACAAATAAAACGGCGTATACACTACTTCTCGTGACAACTAGAGTCTCTCTCTCTTGGTTTGAGTAATATGTGCGCGCGCGTAAGCCAATGTGCAAGTATACATACTTACTTAGTTGGCCGAGCAAGAACCAGCTAAACAATGGTCCTCGCTGCCAAACAGTACCTAGGTACATAATGCATAGAGCGCAATTGAAATAGTGTCGAAACCTGCAGCTTTCCTTTCTCTCGCGATCAAATCGCGGTGTTGTTATACGATTGATATACTATGTATGTAGATGTCTGTAATATTTATTGTTTGCCGTTTGCGTGTATATTTTCGTAGAGGGAAGTTTGGCACGGTGTACCGTTGCAAGGAGAAAAAAACCGGGCTGTCGCTCGCGACTAAGGTGGTCAACGCCACGAGAAAGGAGGACAGACGGGACGTCGAGCGCGAGGTCGACATCATGAGGAAGCTCCAGCATCCCCGGCTCATACAACTCTACGACGCCATAGAGCACGGCAAACAAATCTACGTCGTCCTCGAGCTGTACGTCCAACGGTTTATTCATTACCTCCCTTCTATATACTATAATAGTATAATCAATAACTCATCGAATTATTTTTTCGATTAATACCGAGCCCAGCCGGTTTTATTTTAAGGTGTACACGCGACACGTGTGATGTTTTGCGACGGCCAAACATTTTTGCCGCCGCCGCGATCGTTACATAATTTTTCGCGCAAACTTGTCGTTGGCTTTGAGTGACAGGGGGGGACGCGCTTGTGCGCTAAATTTGTTAACCGCGGAAATGAACGTGCGTCGATTGATTCGTCACTCTTTTTTTTTTCTTCCCCCCCCCCCCCCTGGTACAGGATCGCGGGGGGCGAGCTGTTCGAGAGGGTCATAGACGACGACTTCGTCCTGACGGAGCGCAGCTGCGCCGTGTTCATGAGGCAGATCTGCGAGGGAATCGAGTTCGTCCACTCGCAAAACATCCTGCATCTGGACATGAAGGTTCGCCAGCCGATTTTTTTTTCCATATGCCGTGTCATGCGACCCGATGACATTTGGGGGTTTTTTTTTTTTTTTTCGTTAGCCGGAAAATATACTCTGCCTGACGAAGGAGGGCAACCGCATCAAGATCATCGACTTTGGTCTGGCGCGCGAGTACGACCCGAAGAAGAAGCTCCAGGTGTTGTTCGGCACGCCGGAGTTTGTCGCTCCGGAGGTCGTCAATTTCGACCAGATCGGCTTCGGCACGGACATGTGGAGCATCGGCGTCATCTGCTACGTCCTGTAAGTCATTTATACCACACCCACATTGCGAGGGAATAACAGTTTTGCTGGCAGGGGTCGATTTGGAGAAAAAAAAAGAGCAACTTTTGCGTCGTTACAGGTTGTCGGGGCTGTCGCCGTTCATGGGAGACACGGACGTCGAGACGATGGCCAACGTGACCATAGCGAAGTACGACTTTGACCACGAAGCCTTCGCCGACATATCCGAGGACGCCAAGGACTTTATCAAGTGCCTACTGGTCAAAGACATAACGTAAGTCTCGCTCGGCCGAAATTATTACTTACCTCCACACATATATATATATGTACTCTCGTATAAGTCGTGTAACATATATGTAAGTACACGGTTTTTGAGCTCACGTTCCTGCACGACCGCTTCTTGTATGTTCTAACGAGTCCATCCTCTCCCAGAAGTAACAATTTGTTTTTTGCATGTAAATGTATATTTCTTGTAAAAAAGTTGTGAGAAATCCCAATGAAAGAAAAAAAAAAAAAAAAAAGAACAAATGTTTTCAAGAGGATTTTTGTTTTCTCTTTTGTCGTTCGATCATGTACTTCCACACCAAAAATTTCTGTGTACTCCACTGTGGAATAAGCTTTGATCTCGTGTGAATTAACTTCTCCGTCCCTTCAAACCTCCGTCCTCACCTCTGTCAAGAATAAATAAAACTTAAAAAACCAAGAATCAGAAAAAAAAAAAAAAAACCAAGTATATTACACTTCTTCGCCGAGGGATCGTTGCAAGCGCGCTTCATACGAGGAAGGGCAAAGTGCGTTTCGAAGGAAGTAGACAAGGAGGCGGTTGTGGTGGTGGTGGTGGTGTTGGTGGTGGCAGCTGTTGCTGCTTTCGGGGGCGAGAAGATNCATTTTTTTTTTTTTTTTAATGAGTAAATATAGTTCTACACGTGTAATAACGAAAATAACAATAGTACGAGCTCGGAAAAAAAAAGAGAAAAAAAAAAAGCATCTTCTGCCCGAAACTAAAATAAGTCACGGACAAACCGGCTCTGGCAAACCATCCTGACGCAGCTCCCGTTGTGGATACTTTCAGAAATCGAGCTAGCGCGAGGCAGTGCCGCGAGCATCGTTGGCTCGCCCGCAAACAGCCTCCCGTCCCAGCAGCAACGGTCGCCTCGACCACACCGATCATCGGCGCGCTGCCGGCCGGTCCGTCGCCACCCGCGGTCCAAGCCACCCCCGCGGCCTCGACGAGCTCCTCTAACCTCGAACTCGACGTGACAAAGGACAACCTCCGCCTGTTCGTGGAGCGTTGGCGCGAGCACCCGGACAGCCCGTACAACATCGAAAACCCGAGCGTCGAGCGTCAAGCCTCCCAGGAGACGGCCTCCCTTGGCGGGCAGAGCCCCTCGCCCTGTGGCAGCATATGCAGCGCCGAGAGCCGCAGCAGCGCCGACAACAGTAGCAGCAACAACAGCGACACCTCTGGTGTTTACTGCCCACAGAGCCTCGACGCGGGCTGTTACCTTCTGCCCGAGCTGTCGCTCACCGCGTTCGAGAGGCGGGCCTCCGAGGGCGGCAGACTCAACGACAAGAAGAAGGGCTTCGATCCCGCCTCCCAGATCCTCCTCGCCGAGGAGATCATCCGGCTCTCGGAGCACCTGAGGTCCATCGCCGTCGCGCCGGTCGGCACCGAGAAACCGAGTGCCGGTCCCACCCCCAAAGATAACAGTCACAATACGGGGCGCAAGGAGGAGCCCAACGAAATATCGGAGAAGCTGTCGAGCATAGAGCGCCAGAGGAAGCTCAACGGCACGACCTTCAACGAAAGCCGCAACCTCGACAAGTACAGCAACGACTCGAGCGTTGGTAGCTTTTTCTCCCTGAGGCGGTCCTCCAAGGCGAGCAGTAGTAACAGCAGTAGCAACAGTAGCGGCAGCGCGACGGCCACGAGCGTCAATAGTGGTAGTGCCGGTAACTCGGTGGCAAAGCCATCAGGATCGGCGACGACGAACAGTAGGGAAGACAGGGGTAACGAGTGGCCGGGCGTGCGAATGATGCGGGAGATGGATCTGACCCCGGCGTGGAGGCAGTCGGCGAGAGTGAAGCGGCGCTTCGGGGAGACGTGCAGGGACGTGCCGCGGATCGCGAGGCTGCAGGACCTGCACAAGAATATGAGCCTCAACGAGCCGACGAGCACGAAGAACCTGCTGCTACAGTTGATCGACGAGTGGAGCGAGGTGCGCCGGCCGGCCGGTCTCGGTGGCCGCAAGAGCATCAGCCTCGACTGGTGCGGCGAGGAATCGGTCGCCCGCAAGTCCATCAACTCGCTCGCCGAGTACTTCCAGTCCGAGCAGCAAAAGGTCGCTGCGGCAGCTGGTAGTGCGAGCTCGATACGCTGAACTTCAGCAGGGTGGGTCTGCGCGTGGGGGTGTTGGTTGGATTTTCATTTTTCTCTCTCTCTTTTTTTTTTTTTTTTTTTATTCTTACCTCGGGATTTGTCTATATTGGAGAAAATACTGCACTTATTACCGATGAACCTGTGCTCTTTGATTCGAAAGTTGTTGTCGTGTACAGTTTGGTATTGTAGATAGTCTTGACATTCCAACTTGACGTACGGCAAGGTCTCGACGGACTTTGTGATGATTTTCGAAGCTCGAGAGTGCGGCGTTTTTTTTCTTCAAATTTCGCTTTCCAACTTCATGTTTATTGACAGTTCATCAAAGACAATCCCAGCGAATATTTTCTGTACGTTTGGTTAATGTGAATGAAACGTGAATTGTTGCATACCAAAAACTAAAAACAGTTATAAATGTGAATAGAACCAAAGGACGAAGGCAAAAGATGTTCCATTTTGAAATTCAGTGATCACAGGAGAATGTTATGTCTCATAACTGGATGTACCACTTGATCATTCAAGTACCGTTAGTTACAATTGCAAAATTGCAAGAATTGCTTCCTCATTTGCGGTAAAAGAGATCCCGTGGAAAAATGAATAATAAAAGTCACGAAATTATCAAACTTTTCTCACATAGAATAAATAAATTTAAAATTTTTTATGAAAAATCCAAAGATTTTTTAGTTAGACTTGTGCACAGAATCCATAAAATTATGTTATTTGTTGTACTTATATATTATATAAGTATTATTTACTGTGTTGGGTCGTTTCACTCGCCACCGGCATCGATCAGTTAACTGGAAAATTGCCTAACACCGTTTTAATCCTCTNACTACAAGTAGGCATTTTGCTGCAAAAAACAAGACTATTTTATCAATACACACACACAACTACACGCAAAAGCATACTAAGTATATGTATACACGCTCCTCTGCGTCTATATACTGCTAACTGTTCTGACGACAGTATATATATATATATATATTGCTTGACCAAGTGACGTCACACGTCATCGCAAACTAGCAGACTGCAAATTTTCTGTAAGTATAAAGCAATGTTTACGTTTGTGTCTTCTATCGTTCAAAGTTGAGAAAATCAATCTGGTTATGGTGAGTGGTGAGTTTTAAATACTTGATTAGCACATTATTTACCAATGAATGTGAGCTAAGACAAAAAAGCAAATTGAAGTGACCAAGTGTAATTCATTAGTATCTTTATTTCATGTGATTTCACAGAGTGTGTCAAAGAAAGCATGGAGTCCTTATTTTACAAAGGAATACGATCCTTTGATGGCAGGCAGTATCGATGGTACGGATACAGAGCCCCATGATAAGGCAATCGCCAGAGCAATGGAGTCTCATTATGAACCTCCTCATGGACTGAAATCAAAGCCAGACAGGACCCTGTTTGTATCAAGATTTGGTCCCAGGATAAGCAAAGATGATTTGATTGAGGTATTACTTCCCCCACTAAATTGGTACATGTGTATTGTTTAATATTTTGATTTTAGTTTTTCTCACAGTATGGGGATGTCGTTTCTGCCACTGTAATATACGACGTTGTCACTGGAGCTTCACAATGTTATGGCTTTGTGGAAATGAAGTACGAGGATGATGCTTGGAAGATAGCTAGGAGAATGAATGACTTGACTTTGATGAGTCACAAACTTTTTGTCGATTTTGAAGTTGGACGAACAATGAAGGGGTGGAAGCCAAGAAGGCTTGGTATGTATATTTGAAGTCATTTTAAAATATACAAAAAAAAAAGTATTGCAATAAAAATTCAGTTGGTATCTGAATATTACAGGTGGTGGTTTTGGTGGCAAGAAAGAGTCTGGACAACTGAGGTTTGGTGGAAAAGAGCGACCTTTTAAAAAACCTTACTTACTGGGTGTACCGGACAAATATAAGAAACCATTTTCTTCACTCAAGCCAAAAGTAGAATGATTGATTCAACAAACAGCGCGTCTTAATCTTTCAAATTAATAAAATTACTATTTTTTACCGTTCAAACAGCCACTTTAAGGAATTCATTTATTTATTTTTAAATATACATTCTCGAACTCAACTTATACTTGGCAAATATGCATTTAGATGTGCAGTCTCTGTCAATAACATACATATGACTACTCATCCGTTTCAAATTTCACGTTGAAAAAGGAAAAAATCTGTAGTTTTGTCTTTAGAAAGTATAAAACAATGCAATTTTCTACCCCATTTTCAGTCAACTGCTCTACCATTCAAGTCCGATGGCCATCCCATAAAAAATCCGCTGCTCTAATGGATGTTTTTATCCGAATGGAGGCAGAACGTCTTCCCAAAGAATCCCAACAACGAATCACAAATATTTACGAAAATTCTATAAATAAGATAACAGCCATATCCCGGTAACCCAGATGATATTCAAGAAGCCTGCATCATCATTAGCATCCGTAGCTCAGGCGAACTTCAAGGCACACACCCACATCGCCGCGATTAGGCGCAGGCAGGTGTATATGTATATTCATGTATGCGCAAGACGTGATAATTAGAAGAGGTGCCAGAAACAGCGACGTGGTCATCTTCACCCTCGAATGCTCGAACTATGTGTATATATATATATATAATGAACGAAGAGAGAGAGAGAGTGAGGAGACCGGACAACCTTGTACACCCAGATGACGCCCTATCTATTCTCTCGACGGGCCACCATACACGGCGGCTCCCACCATACATCCCACCTCGAGCTTCTCGTGCATCGACTCGCTATACACACGCGGACTACCTCTCCCCCGGAGGAAGACAAAGTTATTGTTTCTCCTTTTATTATTTTCTTTCCCCCCAGCGACCAGGACTCGTGTTATTCTTGGATTCGAAGGTTGGCGAGCACATCAGCGTCCACCTGGACGACCCCAAGTGGAGCTACTTCTTCCGCGTGTCGGTTGGCTGACGAATCCGACTATGGCTCTGCTGTTCGAGCCACCTCGGCCGACCCAATTTTCGTTAAACGCCACATATACACATATATATTCAATATGTACACACACACACATACTATATAATTATACGCGTGTGCCTTCTTCTACTGCGTTCATGAGATAAAGGTATAAATATAAAAGTGCGTTTATCTCTGACTTGAAACTCCTCTACCGCCCTCCTCTCTATATGTAGTAAAGTCGGGTGTAACACGGCGTCGCTTCCACGAATCAGCGAAAAATCGAGTTCCGTGGCTCCGACAACCGGGTTTGCATTTTCTTTTTTTTCCCCGCTCCAGCTCGGGAATGGAGCTGTTTGTACAGTTTCACCTATACCTATCCCAGACGATTTTCGTTGGAGGTATTTTTATATACAACGTCGGCTCGCCGGTGCGTCCCGTACTTTTCATCGGAGCTGCGTTTACTTGTTTTGCACAATTTTACCGCGTTACAGAGAACACGAAAAAGATAACGGCCATTCTCGGAATCAACGGACAAGCATAGATAAAGGGGGGTCGTAAAAAAAGTGTGCACTGGTCGAAAATTCGTTAAAATCGATGAACACGGACGCACGCTTTCGAGAAAAAAAAAAAAAGTGGTCACGAACCGTGCGCGCGGCGCGGTCGTAAAAATAAAATATCAAAAATATACGGGTTTATATTTTCGGTTGAGGAATTTTCGAAACGAGAAGTTTAGCCGAAGCGCACGCGGTGCGATGGTTATTTTTAACCCGAAAAATTGTACCGAAAAGAAGAAGGAAAAAAAAAAAAAAAACTCATCCGAACCGTGCCTACATGTAATGTAATGCCGTGCCTGACCACACATCGTTCTATTCTACTGCCGATTCCACATATAATATATGCGTACCGACTTGGCGCATACAATTATCTCGAGATGCGAAGATAACGTACCGATTGAAAGGATAGAAAAAAAAGCCTCCCCTTGGTCGACGTATCGGTTCGCAAGCCCCGAGAAAAATTGTTCGGCGTCACCAAACTATATATATATATATGTGTGTATGCAGCCCCGACACCTACGCACCTTCGAGACACGGGGGAGGAGTCACCGGCCAACACCGCGTAAATATACGAGGCGCCCGAGAAAAGAATACCCAGCTCCACACACACACACACACACACACGAGCAAAACGAATTATACAACGCGTTGGAACATGGGAAAAGCCGGTCCATGATTTCCAGGGCGGCTCCTCCAAAAGGCAGAAAATGTTTCAAAGCTCAACCGCTTGTGTTATTGCGGCGAAAGCACCGCTAGTATATACGGTCCAACGATTCACTCGGGACAGAAGACAAGCCATCACACCGGTTAACGATACAGAGCTAAATCATGTTACATGCACACCTATATTGTATACACGCTTGTTTTTACCTTTTGCTCGCGCGTATACATGTATGTACGTATGCAGCATCCACCACCTTATACACGCACACGTATCACTGCATCAGGGGAGAACGGAAATAGAGGCTTCGAAGATCGCGCAAGCGCCCTTTGGGGCCCGCGTTGGCTAATAATAGCCGGCGATCGCGGCTTCGCGCCACAGAGAGAGAGGAGCGCGGGGGAGGCTGCAAACAGATAGGGAGACAATCATCAGCACCAGCATCATCGTCGTCGTCATCATCATCGTTGTAATAGTAGTAGTAGTAGTCACGGGCACGGGCGTGGGGATCCGGACTCTCTCTCTCTCTGCGGGTCAGGGCGCGTTGAGGTGTCGGCTCCCGAAGGCAAAGCTCTCAGAGCCGCTCAAGCCGTCGCGCGGACTCCACATTCCAATAAGAAGCTCGGGCTCTCTGCGACCACTGCTTTTTTTGTACCGTGGATTGGCGCCAGTGCCCCAGTAGTAGTACCACCACCAGCGACAGCGGCAGTTTTAGAATCGGTACCTCTATCCGATCGCCCAGTCTACACCCTATCTCTCACTTTCTCACTTTTCTCTCTCTCTCTCTCTCTCTCTCTCTCGCATATACATTAACACGTATACATATACAGCATCCGTAGCTCAGGCGAACTTCAAGGCACACACCCACAGATTATAGAATATTAATAAATAACTTATACAATAAAAACATTTATAAAGTGCACATGCACACATTGGTTATCAAAAAAATTAAACACAACAATTATTAGACTACAATACTTTTACTTCATTTTAACATTATAGCTGTTAAAAAATTCTTTCAGTGGTTAGATGTTATTTTCCGATTTTGAATACAACATTTGAATCACATTTTTATTCTGAATAATGGAACCGTGATCCTAGATAATAACGATGGAAAATCCAAGTAAGGATCATCTTTTTTTAGATAATTTTGATACAATATTAGTCCTCTCCTTCACTATTTTGTTCACTTAATAAAATATACACGTAATTTGCTGCCGGCGCTTCACGTACTTTTGTTGTTAATGCATTTTTTCTTTCTGTCATTTGTTGCGTCTGCAATTGTTTCAATTTCGTTTGCAACATATTATTTTCTTCTTTGGACTTGAACAGTTTAGCTTGCAAATCTTTTATTGTTTCTTGTTGTATCCTGCCAAAATTTTATAAACAATAGATCATTGACTATTACAATTTACTATTAAAATGTTAATGGTCACTTGAATAAAAAAAATTATAACTACCTGATTTGTTGAATGAGCGGTTCACTGTTGTATTTGGTTATTTTCATCCCAGTGATTTCACAAAGATCAAACGAATCTTTTACTTGTTCTGCTATAACATCTAATTTCAAAGTGTAATCACTGTTTAAATTTTTTACCTTATAGCAGTTTGCCTGATTTTCCTCATAATCCAAATTTTCAGTTGGAACAGCATTATCTAACAATGTGCGAAGCCTTTTCGGTGAATAATTTTCACAATTTGTCAAACACTCTGGCTTTTTTTTGAAACAATTTGGAGCGAAATGGGTGGAACATATTCTAGCTAAAATACATCACACGTGACAAAAACTTTCATCAAATAAATAAACATCATAAAGCACTAAATAGAAAAATACTCGAAAAATAAACAAACCATTTTTGAGGTTAATATTTGGACGATTGCATGCTGCGACCCATTTTTGAGCCATTTCAAGATTTCTTGGGAAAGAAAAAAATTGCACATTTATTTTTCTTGCATCTCCGCTTTTCTTTCTGCAGCCAGGTACACTACAAGTAGGCATTTTGCTGCAAAAAACAAGACTATTTTATCAATACACACACACAACTACACGCAAAAGCATACTAAGTATATGTATACACGCTCCTCTGCGTCTATATACTGCTAACTGTTCTGACGACAGTATATATATATCTAGAATCACAATTATTAAATTGTATCTAAAACTTGATCCACGTGTTCCTATGAATTTTCGTCAACGAATTTACACTCACAATTTTTCCACATAAAAAAAAGATGATAATAATGATTGTATACATAACTAAATGCCGAATAAAATAGAGTATGTATTTTTGTATATGATCGCCGAACGGCTGTTGATACTATATGTGTGTATAATTTGTTTTTATGTATAATCACACGTTTTCTGATGTTTTTGTATACAAAAATGGACTCAGACATCATAGAACACGAATTATTACGAATATATCGACTGCGAGAATTATAAGAATGATGTAAGTAAAATTATATAAGTTTAAGAATATACGAATATTAAGCAAACGAAAAACGTTCCTCGTTTTTTCTTGTCCTTTAATACAACTAATAAAAAAGCACTAACGCATTTGTTCTGATTGACGATGCTTACTTGGCATACTAATAAATTTCAATGATACGAAAAATTTACTTGCCACTTTTAACTGAATACAGGAAAAAAAAAAAAAAAATCACTAGAACCAAATCAATACTTGGACGAAATATGCCATACTTTTTCGCTGTACATTTATGTTTTTTTTTTTTTGTTACGCACTAACACACGTTTTTTCCAACTAGAAATAATAAAATTTCTGCAATATCTCATCATCGACAACTAATAATTAATCGCAGAGAAAGACCGGGAGCCGACAAACTGCTGGAGCATCGCTGGTTGGAGGCACCACTTGAAAATCCAATATCAAAAGTCCGACTCAAGCGTTACGTTATCAAGAAACGTTGGGTCAAAGCCGTCAACACGATTTTAGCTCTCAGGCGTATGGGAGCGCACATCAACTTTGATCTCGTTTAATTTTAGTTTTTTTTTTTCTCCTCTTACTGAGCGTTGACTATGTGTAATCTCAAGCTCAGCCGTGAGGTGACTTACTTCACCAAAGTTACAAGATCAGATTTTATTTTTGTCCGTCATTAGTTTAAGACCATTTTGTAAACAATGTTAAAAGAACAAATTAAACATGTGTGAAAAAAAGGCCTTCAAATATTTTCAAGGTATCAAAAATCTGAAGATTCATTGTATTTATGTTATCGTCTAGAAGCGTAAAACGAAAATTTGATAAATAATCAGTAATTGGGATATGTAAAGCCAACATACTAGATACATGAATGTAAAGTATCATTTCGTCAACAAATTAAAAGATTCAATGTAATTAAAAAATGAAGTTCCTTGAAGTCAAGTCAGAAGATATAGTAGCTCATGAAATAACCCAACCACTGCCTTGACAGAAGTTTTTTTTCTTCTTTTTTTGAGTATTTATTCATTGGAAATTAGACTCAGTATGGATGAAGATGAAATTATGCTAAAAAACATCGACATTTTATGTAGGTTTTATTGATAATGAAAAAAAAATGTTTTGTTGTTAATATACTTAAATACAGAGAGTGTTGTTATAATAATTTCGACTTGCATATTTGCCTCGTAGTAGTAGGGTATTTTCATACCACCACAGAAATTATAACGATACAGTGAGCAGTGTACTTTTACAACCAACAGCCTGGGATATTGTTAAAAAGATATATGTACAAAAACACTACAGAATGTTTCTATTTAAAAGAAAAATTAATTATTAAAGCGGCGCTTCGGGGAGACGTGCAGGGACGTGCCGCGGATCGCGAGGCTGCAGGACCTGCACAAGAATATGAGCCTCAACGAGCCGACGAGCACGAAGAACCTGCTGCTACAGTTGATCGACGAGTGGAGCGAGGTGCGCCGGCCGGCCGGTCTCGGTGGCCGCAAGAGCATCAGCCTCGACTGGTGCGGCGAGGAATCGGTCGCCCGCAAGTCCATCAACTCGCTCGCCGAGTACTTCCAGTCCGAGCAGCAAAAGGTCGCTGCGGCAGCTGGTAGTGCGAGCTCGATACGCTGAACTTCAGCAGGGTGGGTCTGCGCGTGGGGGTGTTGGTTGGATTTTCATTTTTCTCTCTCTCTTTTTTTTTTTTTTTTTTTTTTTTTTTTTTTTTTTTTTTTTTTTTTTTTTTTTTTTTT